TTTTTTTTTTTTTTTTTTTTTTTTTTTTGTCTCAAAGAAATGTTGCCTATGGCAAGAATGCTGCTCTGCTTTCAAAGACTCCAAAGCCTTCCTCCTCCCTTTCTTCTTTCCTGCCTTCCTTCCTCTCCCTCCCTCCGCTCCCCACTTGCCCTTCACTCTGCGTGCCTACTGAGACATCATCCCCAGAGGATACTCTGACTCTTTGGCTTCCTGGTTCTCTAGGAGATCCTCACTTGGGTGAGAAGCAGCACTTAGAGTTGCCACGGTCCGTTCCAATGTCAGTCCATGTACTTCTTGCTGAGTTCATATGGAAATCTGAACCATAAACTTCAGTTGCCATGAGCACGTTGGGCCCTTTTTCTTTTCTCATTGAAAGAACTGTGGCCGGATTGGCAGTCAGGTCTCTCAGGTCTTTCGCAGAGTTAAATGGCAGAACAGTCCACAGCTCTCTCTGCTAAACCGGGCTGCTTTGAGGTCACAGTAGAAATGCAGTCCTTAACCGGGGGCTGACAAACTTTCTCTGTAACACATTAGATAGTGAGTATTTCAGACTTGTGTGTGTGTGTGTGTGTGTGTGTGTGTGTGTCAAAAGACAAAATTTCAACAAACTGAGTTTAAAGATCTAACTGGCGTTTACCAGCAGTTTGTGCATCAGGCAGAACTCCATTTATAACAAATAGGAAGACATTTTGTTGGGTCTGGCACAACAGTCAGGTTTTATATGCAGTTTGAGCAGGAACAAGGAAACAACATAAAACAAAAAGTGGATTGGTTCACACCGGGTTATTTCGTGTTACTTTCCTTATAAGGTTTAAAGCAGTAGGGACTTTCTTATGCTGCTAAGACTAGCCTGTTTAGGGATTTGGCTGTTACCTTGCTTCTGATTTCTTACTTCAGATAAGCAATTTAAATCTGGTTTAGTGATGTGAAACTTTAGCTCGAGTAACTCCATTTTGGTGTAGTCTGCTGGGGCCAGGGCAGGAGTTCGTTTCAAAACAATGGCCTTCCATAAATTTTGTGTAATAGCGGGCTGAGGCAAAACTGAGAATATTAAGTAGGTATTTATATAACAAAGGAGAATCCAAATTTCCACACATTAGATATTAAAGTAAAAATATTATATGTAATATTAAATATAATAATAGATATGACTGTAGACTCTGAAATTTGAACTCTGTATATTTCATATCATGAAATATTCTTCTTTATCCCTGCAACCATTTAAAAATATGAAAACCATTCTTATGTTATAGATCATACAAAACAAGTGACAGGCTGGATTTAGCCTGAAGCTTATCATTTGCAGACCCATTTTTTAAATCAAAATCTGCTGTTCTGGGGACACTTGGGGGCACATGCAGCCTACGTGTGTGTTTCGTTTGACTCCCAACAATATTTTGTATTTAATTAGTAGACAGTGTTTCTGTTTTCCAATTTTTTAGTTTCATGACCTTTTTCATTATAAAAGTAATATATTGTTATGACTAAGTTGGAATGGTAATGCTTTGGCAAATATCTTTTCAGCCTTTTATCTATGCATGGTAAATCTTTTTTTGTTTTGTTTTTTTGTTTTTTTCAGCTTTAATTGAGTTTATTGATACATTTTAGGGATACAGTACAGTTATATTCATTGTTGGGATCTTGTACCTCTACATGACAAGTCTTGGTTCTCATTTTTTCCCCTTACCTCTGCCCTCCCTTCACCCCCTCCTCCCCTCCCGCTCTACAAACACTTTATTTCCATCTTTTCATTTTCTCACATTTTTTTCTTTTCCCTTTTTACTCTTCCCCTACCCATCCCACCTTCCCTACACCTTTAGCTCCTTTCTTCCCATTTCTAAATGTCAGTGCGCATGGTAAATCTTTAACAAGTAAGACAATATTGTGTAGAAAAATTGTTTATTTACAGCTGGGCATGGTGGCAAATGCCTGCAATCCCAGCACCTTTGGAAGCTGAGGCAGAATTACAAGTTCCAGGAAGCCTGGGCAACTTTGTCACTTAGCAAGACTATATCTCCAAATAAAAAATGTAAAAGGGCTGGAGATGTAGCGTAGCACAAAGGCCCTGGATTCAATCCTCAGGAATTCTGAGGCTTCTGATTGAATCCTCAGGATTCAATCCTCATTTACTTATAATTAGATAAATATTTAAACAATTATGTATCTTACTATCTATTTACATCATATCATAAACATGTCATTAAAAACCTTCCATGAACATAGTCTTTTAAAATTTTATGATGAAAATCTTGAACATATTCTGGAAGACACAGAAAGACTAATTTAATGAACACTTCCCTTTTTTCATGTAAAGTCGCTCCTGTATTATTTTGAAACAAATCCTCATATCATTTTATCTCTAAATATTTTAGTATTCTTCTTCAAAAGATACAGTTTTTTTGTTTTTTGTTTTTTGTTTTGTACTGGGAATGGAACTCAGGTCCTTATGCTTGTGAGGCAGGCAGCAGAACCACTGAGCTAAATCCCTGGCCCCAAAAGATATAGATTCTAACAATTCTTTTCTTAGGAAAGAATTGCTTAAGTTTTTAGGGGTAAAAGAATGTAGTGCCTACAATTTTCAAATAGGAAGGAAGGAAGGGAAGACGGAAGGGAGGGAGGAAGAGAAGGAAGGGAGGCAAGAAAGGAAAGAAAAGATCTGGATAGAAGATATATAGGAGTTTTGCACTATTTTGTAACTCTTCTATAAATTTCAAATACTTGTAAATAAGAAATTTTTAAAAGGTGAATTACTAAAAAATGCAGTTTTAAAAAATGAAATATTACCATGTGTGGTGTCACATGTGTGTAATCTCAGCACCCAGAAGGCTGAGGCAGGAGGATTGCCATGAGTTTGAGGTCAGTTTGGGCTACACAGTGAGTTTAAGGCCTGAATTACATAGTGAGGCCCTGTCTCAAATAAATAAACAAATTAATTAAAAAATAGAATAATGAAAAAGAAAAACAACCACAGTATCATACGGCACCAACAAATAACAATTCCTTAATAACATCACAAATTATAGTCAGCATTTGAATTTGCTTAATTAGGTCTTAAAAAAACAATGTGTTAATTGAAAGCATAATTCCAATGAAGGTCCATACTGTGCAAGTGATTCTCCTATATTTCATTTAATTTTACAAGTTTCCCTTTCTTTTACTCTTGCTATTGTTTTTTTGGTTGGTTTTGTTTTTGTCTTGTTTGTTTTGTTTTTTAATATATGTAAAGTCAGGTGTGGCGGTACATGTCTAATCCTAGCACTCAGGAAGGCTGAGGCAGGAGGATCAAAAGTTCAAGCCTACCTTGATCAATTTAATGACTTGGCAAGACCTCTCAAAATTTTAAAATATAAAAAAGGCTGGGGATATAGCTCAATGCAAAGGCCCTGGGTTCAATCCTTAGTACCAAATAAATAAATAAATGTATGTTAAAGAAACATTCTGTTTGACTGCAATTTTTCCCAGTGAGAAATGGGTGATGGCTCACTTGGGAATGTTTTTACATGTTTCAATCTCACAGATTTCTTATAAATTTGTAGTTACATTTGGAGGCTAGCTCAGTCTCAGGGTCTTTTTCAGGTTTCTTTGTTTTGTTTTGTTTTTTAGTCAGTATTTGATTGCTCTTGTATAAAACTTCTGATTCTTGGCTTAGTTGGAATATTGTGCAGATCTGCCAACCCCGCCTGGGAATGATTAAGTCTGAGGCTGAGTAGTGAGCACCCCACACCCCACCTCTCATCCCTGCTCGGGTGGGACAGGAATTCTCCCAAAGGCCCTGGTCACGCCATTGGGATGAGCAGCTTCATGCAGTTACCTGCCAGACTCCCACCAGCATGGAGACCCTCTGAACAATGCCTCTGCAGAGGCTGTGGTGGATGGGGGCACAGCTGCACTGAGGCCTTCAGGGAACGCAGTAGTGACAAGAGAAAAGCATAGGGGTGGGATTTAAAATGGTTGAAGAGACAGAGGTAAGTGGCTGTAGGAGGGAAGCCAGGTGATAGGTTTTGGTGAGAGCCTAGGACAGGGGACAGAGGGAAAAACAAAATCCTTAAGTCAACAGCACAGCAAGTACAGCAGGAAGAATGAGTTACAGATTCCTAATCTGTGGTGGGAAACAAAGAAAGCAAATGATTTTCAAAGAGACAACACTGTAGTCTTTTTAGATGATATTAAAGCTCTGAAAAGAAAAGAGGGCAGTCAGTATTAAATTGGCCATTGTCTTAGCACAAGCAGACAGTGGTAGCATATCAGAAATGAGTTAGAAAACAGAAAAGGCCCCAGAAAAAGGACCAGGAACCATGCATGCAGTGGAGATGATGTCTGAATTGGGGAGGGGGGGTACTGAAGACTGAACCCAGGACTTTCGCACTGAGTTACATCCTCAGCCTTTTTCATTTTCTTTCTTTTTGTCTTTTGAGACATCTTGCTAATTTACTAAACTTCCCAAGCTGGGCTAGAACTTACCATCCTCCTACTTCAGCCTCCCAGAATGCTTGGTGTGTGACACTATGCCCAGATTTTTTTCTTTGTTATATATTGAAAATTATAAAATATATCACATTTAATTATATATTATGTACATATGTATATGTATATGTATATATACATATACATATACATTTTTTTCTTTTTTTTTTTTTAGACAAGAGTCTTGCTGTGTAGTTCAAGCTGGCCTTGAACTACTATATAGCCCAGGCTGGCCTCAAATTCATGGCAAACCTCCTGCCTCAGCCTTCCATGTGCCATCATGCCCACCTTTCACATTTAATTAATTTTAAAGGAATAAATCTTTACCAAAAAGAATATAACAAGGTAGGATGTTCCTGGAAATTTCCAGCTCGTTCCCCACCCATACTCAGAAGAATGATTAAGAGAAAGATTCTGTGACTGGTTATGAGGAAGGATGGAAATTTTTGAAGGACTAGCTAATTATGTAAGTTTTAGGCTGTGGTGTTTAAAACGGTTGCCCTGATATTTTAGTTATTAATAACAATTTGGGGAAATATACTCACTTCTGGAGAAACATTTGGCTCCAATGAGAAAAAAATGCCACTGTTTGTGAAGTCCCAAGCGGATGTAAGAAGCCATTCACCAGTAAGAAGCTGTTGACAGGGGCTAATCAAGGTACCACCTGGAACACAGTAGCAAAGCAAAAAAGGTGGACCATGCAGTCAGATCTGTGTTTAAATCCCCTTATGGCGCTCACTATGTGACCCTAGCAGATTGCCCATGGAAAATTTCTAGAGTATAAAGGCTATTTTAAACAACTTTTGGGTGATGATTTCCACTGCATGGATGGTAGGACAAAGAACTCAGAATACTAGGTTTCAGGGTATAGCTCAGTGGCAGAGCCTGGACATCATATGCGCAGGGCCCAGGGTTCAATGCCCAATACCAAAAACAAAAGCAAAAATCTCAACAGTTAACTCCCAATACTAATAGCAGTGGCATGAGCTTGCAATGAGAGAGTGCTTGCTATGTACCAAATATTATTGTATATGCTTTGCATATATTATTACCTCATTCAATTCTCAAAAAGCCCTAGGAGGCTGGCACTAATTAAAATCAGCCCCATTTTGAAAGAAGGAAATTAAGGCCCAAGGAGGTTAAGTAACTTGCTTCAAGTGGCCTTATAAGCAACAAAGCTGGGTGTTGAACTCAGGTGGGCTGAACATAGAAGTCAAATTGTCATTCTCCTACCTTCCACCTTCCAGTCCCAGAGAAGCAGAGAGCAATATAGCAGACTGGGACTTCCCAGTCCGGGTTCTTAATCTGCATGCCTCAGTTTTCTTACAAGTTTTTAAATAATTTTCAGTTTCCAAAAGACTCAATGGGAACATAATAAACTCACAATGAACACTACGAAATTTTTACGTTGGAATCCACTATTGCCAACAGGTTAGCTCAGGTTTTGTGGAAACTCTGATTGGCAATTATACATATAAAAATATTGTGCTAAGTGGAAGATAAATCATTACTCAATAAACAGTGTAGTGGAGTAGACCTCTTTGAACATGTGGCCTTTGGAGAGCAAATAAAGGGTGCTTGGCATTGAGGAGGTTGGGAACTGCTGACATACATGTGAATCTTGCCCAACTGTTCTGAGCCTAAGATACCTCGACATAACTGACTCCATCTTACCCACTGAATGTACAGTAAACAACTCTAAAACTGACTCCAAGAGAACTCCAGAGGGCTCAACAATACCCATTCTGCACAAACACTGTATGGAAAACGCCACACAGATGTCCCCAGAGCTTTATAAGCAGACACATTTCACCTCACCGTGTCTGTCTAGACCCGTGCTTGAGGTGCCACTGGCTGTGGATGCGCTGATCCAGGGCCTACAGTTGTAGAAGTCCTTGCATTCCACCCTGTGCCTGACAAAGATGGCTGGTCAGGGGATACTGCCCCTCTGAATGTTGGAGCTCAAAGGCCAAGGGCGTAAAGACATGGAGATGTTTCCTGATATGTCTCAGAACCAAAGGAGGTCTGCTTTCCCCTTGGAGGCTCCTGTGGTAGACCAACTGGCAGCACCCTTCCACTCAGCTGCAAGCGCTGCTCTATAAGTCCCCCTTTATCGTGAGATTCAGACTTGTGTGATTCTCTCTGTTTGGGCCTCCCAGAGATCCTGTCTTGCTCAAGACACCAGCCTGTCATCTGATCAAAACTCTGCCTTTATTTTTAAATGATGTGATTCTTTCATTTGTCTTGGAGTCAATATATTCTTCCTTCATCATTTAAAACGTTTAAGTGGCTTTGCATTTAACATTGGAATCTACTTAGCTCATCAAAATGATCACATTCTTAAAACTCGCTTATGAACTTGTATGCGCAATTGCATACACTATATTCCAGGCTAAAAGCAGGCCGCACGTCATGCAGAGTAGCCTTTTAAATCCTTTCACGATGTAGCCTGGGAATGAATCTTTTCTAAAGAATATTTGAAAATAAGACTCACTACTGTCAGAACACAAGGAACACTGATTGTTTAAAAACAAACAACCAAACACCTACATAGGAGGACATTAGGCTGTTCGCTGCACGAGAGTTTGCAGCAGGCCCTCAGTACTTTTTCAGTGCTAGCCTCTGCATGGCGGAAGAAGGAGCTCAGCAGGCAGTCAAGTGCCCTTCATTTAAGGAAGAGGACTGGCTCTTTTGCATGAAGCAGTTCTTATACCTTGTTGGGAAAATCCATGTAGGCCTCTCCTGATCGCCATGGGATGACACAAGTGACACCTTATTCCTGAAAATGTATGCAATTAAACTGCGCAGGACTTTCTCCGAATCTTGCCAGTCTCAAGTGTGCAGGGTCTGGATCCGGTGCCCAGGGCCCTCTTGCCGACCTCGGCCTGGTTCTGGCAGTCCCTAGGCTCCGCGGCCACAAAGCCCTAACTGGATTGTCCTCCCGGGAGGAGGCTGAGGCCACTGCCCCTGGGTGGCCGACAGGGCCTCCGGGGGTCGCCGGTGTGGGTCTGGCCGCTGCCCTCCGGAGGCCTGGTCTTCCGTGTGGCGGACCCCCCCCAG